TGAACCAAATAATCACTAGAAAAAGATTAGATCTTTAAGTTTATATGGTGACGTTTGAACCAAATAATCACTGCATTTTATTGGGTATCCTGAGCTATATGTAGACATTTGAACCAAATAATCACTAGAAAAAGATTAGATCTTTTAAGTTTATATGGTGACGTTTGAACCAAATAATCACTGCATTTTATTGGGTATCCTGAGCTATATGTAGACATTTGAACCAAATAAACACTAGAAGACCATTAGTCCTTTCGAGATCATATGGAGGCATTCGAACCAAATAGTCATTTGAGATTTTTAGGAAAATGCTTGTAATAGAATAAGTATTTAACAACGTTACATTTTTAACGCAGTTATTAAGTAACAAAAACAAAAGTAAAGCACAGTTCAATCTACACACAATATATTTAATTAATCTAAAACAGTCTGCAAGGTTTTAGGCAAGGTAATATTTTTAATAAAACTAAGAAATGGATTTTAAAACATATATAGCTCACTTTTTTCAAGGCTGGCAGACCTTTTTTCCCGAAAGTTCCGTCAACATTAAAATCCATAATAATATTTCTTCCAAATACTTTATGCAAATTACGTTCAGCGTTACCTGCAATGAGATTTTTCATTTGTCGAGTCTGCAATTGTAAAAATTGTTTTAGTTATGAATTTGTTATTCCCAAAACGCAGATACGTACATATAGATCTGCTTGTGTTGCGAGAATTCGATCAAATTCTCGAAGTTTTTCTTCCGATTCAATTGGAAAAATTGTCATAATATTGTCCACAAATGCGTTCTGAGAAATAACACGATCCAGTAAAACTTTATGCTCCGCCAAAATATCAATAATCGTGTCTAGTTTTCTGGCATTTTCTTGGCAGGAAGAACATTTTGCATTAGCTATCAAAAATATGAACTCAATTTTGTTATACTGTTAAAAATTTAGTGATAATCTTTGGAGATTACCTTGTGGAGCAAAATATTTCATTTTTCCTTTGGAAGGGTTGGCATTTTCGTTCGACATGTTTATGTGCGGGAGTTGTGTACTTAGGAGGTAAAAATTTGTGCTTGATATTTCTCTGGAAAGCAGGAATGTAAAATGGGCACGATTACAAAATCAGAATCAATTGGCAAGCATACAAATTTGAACTGAATGTCTTTAATACAAAATGTCTCTTTTTCCCCTAGAGTCAGATTCGTTTTGAAAATACCAATCTCACAAGAATTCACCGGTTCTTCGTAGAAACTTTCTAATGCCAAAATTCGACTGCCTTCAATATATATTTCGCCCTTTTTCTTTATATTATCAATTTTTATTGGAATGCATGAATTCACCGCGCAAATATTATCTGGTTCTTTGCAGGATATGTAGCAATCATTTACAAAAGCTCCAACGATAACACCTTTTTCATATTTTAACCCATCCTGAATAGTGTTGACAATCATGCAATTTTTTTCCTTTTGAATAATTTGTTGAAAGATATGTGATGGTTTTCGAACATGTTTTTTCAGTGTTTGCAGTTTATTTTCAAATGCATATGCAGAAAACGAAATAAGGGGACCATACTTTTCTGCGCAAGAAGCCAAATGAAGCAGATTATGAACGTTAAAAGAAATGCTGTTCGAACCAAATACAGTTGAGAAGTTCTCGACAAATAATTGAAGCAAATTATTAGCTTGAACAATATTTTGATCCATATGTCGTGCATTGTTAAGAAGTCGATAAGCACAATGTAAAGTTAAAAATTCATAATAAATATCTTCGTGTACATTATTATAAAGAGCAATAATTCCTGTATAAGCAAGGAACTGGTGAAATTCAGTAGCTTTCCAATGACAAAGATCATCTAAAGGCCTGGGTTTTCTTGGGAATTCCCTTGGAATGTATTTTTTAAATTTCACCAATTCAGAAGATATTTTTGAAATATTTTGTTTTGAGGTTTTCTTTTCAGTTTTATTATGCATTATTCTGGTTAGCATTTTTTTGGTGACTCCGAGGTCAATGAGATGCATGCTATCTAAAGGAGTCTGATTTATCATACCAAATCCAATTTCTTCGAGAGGAGTTTTTTCTTCTTTGAACATTTGGGAATGGTGGCATGGATACTTTCGCACAGCAAAGTCCTCATCGGAGATTAGGGAACCACTCTCGCTACTATAAGTCAAGACATTGTTTACCTTCTTCGCAATTTGAGTACACTTGGTGCAGCCATGTGTTGATGTATGTCCAGGAACTCCACAAACGAAAGCTTTTGCTGGTGCGTCACATATTAAGCAACGAAACTTCAATTTTAAATGTTTTTGTTGTATGATAAACTGACCTTTTAGTAGAATCACTTCATCAATGAAGTCTTTCAAATACACATTCACACTACCCGGCTTGGTGTTTCCCAAGTATAATCCAACAACAAACGGTTTTGTTTTCTCCTGAATATTAACGATTCTGCAAAGGATTGGCCACAATTGCACACGAGAGCTTTTGAACAGTGGAATTCCATCGATATTTATATCTAGTTCGACTTCCTCATACTTTTCCAAAATGTGACCAACTTTTCGTAGTTGTGTTTCTATGCCAATATGACAATAAATTCCAGGGGCAACATTTCTCGTTAACATATTTTTTGCTCTGCCCACCAAAGTCTCTCTAGTGAGCGGAACATCTAGACCTTCTTCCTTTAACACTAGAAAGACGGGAATTTTGTATATACCTATATTGCCTAAAATCGGTCAAAATGACTTCATTCTGAAAAATTTTTTATTGTGTAAAGAAATTTTTTTAGACTATTTTTTTAATATTTGTTACATTATTTACAATCATACAAAACGTTGTTATTATTTGTTTTCGGTGGTAGGGCTCTCGGGTTTCCCCTTTCGAAAAATAAGAGCGCGGACAAAACGTTCGAAAAAAGAGGAAGACTTTACTCTAAGAGTGAAATCGACTGGAAATATAAAATTAATTTTTCCCGATTTGTGTGTTCGTATGTGTTTCTAGAGTAGCAAACGGGTTTCGATGTTGTTGTACCGATCTGGTCATATAAGAAATTTACTTTATACAGTAATAAAAGTAGTTTGATTATTTAATATTTCAAAAAGGTCAAAATGACCGCTTTTAGGCTATTTAGGTATAGCACATGTGAATACGGGGAATGAAAGAGGGGAGGAAGCAGCTACTATGATTAATAAACGTAGTTCTATGTGGTAGAAAAAGTCACCAAATTTTAAAAAGCTGAGTCATAATATACACAATTGTTTTTGTACTTGAAATTTAAAAACCGTCAAAATGACTGCTCTCGGCAATCTAGTGTTAATATTGATAAAAGACTTTCCAAACATTTCTTTGAAGGATTCGTTTCCATGCACCACTTTTTAAGTTTGTCCCGCAACATTAATTTCGGAACTGCAAAATCTTCCATTCCATTTTCCACGAAATCATTTATAAAATCTCCACCGTTTGACACAAATTCACTTTCACTATTTTCTTGTTCACATTGCAAACTTCTGTTTTTATACAATATTTTTTGTTTTTTAATTAATCTTTTATAATTTCTTTTACTCATTTTGTTTATATATTTAATAAATAATCACCTTTTTAACAATAAAACACACAAAACAAATTAATTGCCGATAAAAACGCGTTGTTTCGATGCGATCTACAAAAAAATTACATAAAAATGTGTATATATTCAATATGTTTTAATGACAATAAAAGAAAAGCCAACTGTCGACATTGTCAGTAGAAATACACTACAATCAGTGTCCCAAACCAAACTCTACTCGTAAATTGTTGAAATTTGAACTAGTACAATTGTCTGTAGAAATAAAGTGGTAATATAAAAAATACACTTTTCAAATATGGAACAGCAATTCACAGCGACATACTGAAACAAGGAAAACGTAAAGGGATTTATCTTCTATTTTCCTTTTTTTTTTTTTTTGAAAAATCAGAAATACAATATTTTCTGTTCATGAATCTACTAATTTTTAGTATTTTTCTAAAGGAAAATTTTTGAAAATTCTTAGGTTATTTATATAGGATATAATAAAAATTTTGAAAATGAAAATCCGCTATATTTTCAAAAAGTGTTTGATTTAATTTTTTAACTTGTTTATCTAGAGGTCAGAGGAAAATAAAAACACATTTAGTTTTTAATTGTATTGATGGGTTCTAACATGATCTCTAACCAAAACAAATAAAACTAACATATTGCGGGATAAGGTATAAATATTTCCTTATTTCATTTTCATATCAGAAACCTTTTTGTAAAATACATTTTCAAATATAATGATTTTTCATTTCGTTTAAAACCAAATCGTATACACATTTTCTTCAATTAGGAAAAGTTTTCAAAACTTCTTCTTCTGTGGACTTTATTATTTTTAGACTTCAGTTAGCTTCTTTGCCTCCACATATATTATACATACATATATATTTCAATTTGTTTATCTTCCGTGTGCAAGACATTCGGTGTTGTTGTTAAGTGACTTTTGATGTTCTCCCATCACAACAAAAAGCCTTCTCTGCTAACAAAACCCAAAGATTTCAGTGTGGATTTTGGGCTTATGGTAAAACTAAAAGTAATGTTTGCATGTGAAGTATTTTGAAAATATTCTTTAGAATAACATTGCGAATGACACATATGGTGGCGGCAAACAACTTTGCTTATTTCCATCTGAATAAGTTGATAGATTTAAATGAAGTGTCTGGGTGCGGAATAAAGTGGAGTTTGAAACTTTATTTGCCGCCGAGTTTTGGTATAATATCAAATGTGGCTGGTCTTGGCTAAAACGAACCATAGCTGTCACATTTTCAGGTAGTTGACAAAAATACAAATTCTGTGATTGAAATTAAAGAAAATACCTTCCCTTTTAACTGAGCCGTTAATTAATTTCTCATCTATGATTCACTGGAGCAAACAAAGGACAATGACAGAGAAGTGAAACTTTGTACTTTTCTCAACATTTCAATAAAAACGTAAAACAACCATCGAAACAAAGAAGATTCAATTAAACTTTTAGCACAACAATTTAGTTGCATTAAATCTATTTACACCGAAATATCAAAGTTTACCTTGGAACTAACTTCAGTTTTGCTTACATTCTGCCGTACCCGCCCATTTCTTGCTGGCAGCCTCTCGCGCTGTTGTCTTACAATTAAAAAGCCTTCGCCGAAAACTTTTCTTTGGCAAATCTTTCTCTAAGGATGAATACGAAAGTAAATGGAAATAGCAACATCAACGGTAACAGCATCATCAAACCAAAATTCGGCAGTTAATGGAGATTTAGAAGAAATTTCAATAGCAAACAGCAAAAAGTTAAATTGCATAAGAAGCTCAGCGAGCACACACACACACAGACAACGGAAGAAGACCGTGGCTGTGGGAGGGCGAACTCAGAACCATTTAAAACTCTTTTAAACAGAATCAAAAGTTGATTTTGTTAAGACATCATTATTGGCAGAGTTATGGTTAAAAGTTTTCAAATAAAAAACATGTTGTTGGATTTGGCTTATGAAAAGTGATGAAATGTGCAAACAATCCGACTTGTAAATGTGGGCAAACATTTCGTCGGCAAGAAAGTAACAAAACCTAAGGTCATTCAACCATTAATATTGCAAGGATTATGTCAAACATGGCCCATGGAATAAAAAGCGGTTGACGAATTTCTATTGACTATAATATCAAAAGGGTTTGAAAGTATTACGACGAGTATTGCAAAATAAAGCGTGTAGATTAAAAAATATAGAAATATATATGAAAATTTAATGTATATATTTCCTGTCTGTTTATAACTTTTGTATTTAGAAATGCAATATAAAGTTAAAATCTGAAGAGGCACGTGGATTGTCACAAAAACGAACAAATCTGTTAATTCTTGTGGAAATATTAGATCGGTTTGTGTTTAATAATTATGACTTTAGATACAATTTAGTAACTTATTGTTGTTATCTCTTAATATTCAATAAATCGCATTCCTACCTCACTTTGTAGACTTTTCCATTGTCGTTTTTACTGTAGTACATCGCAAACGCACATCTATTATGCCCGTTTCTCCATATCGTATGAAGAGTTAAGTATATGGTATATTCGGATGCCAGAGTTTAGTTCCCACAGTCGTTGCCATTATTGGAAATTGTTTGGCAATTTGCCGGTACTCACAAATAACAATCACATACTAACATTCTAACATTAAATGAAGAAATATATTTGCTGCAACTAACCACCATCATGTATTGAAACATAAATCAAATTCACTCAATCTAATTTGTTCGAGTTGCATCCGGCAGAGAATGCATAATAAACGGCTATTTGACTCTGGATTTAGATGAACAAAAAAGAAAGAACAAATGAATACAAGATTTACTTTCCAATACTTTGCGGCTGTGCCAAAGAATTCGCATCTACTAAGAATATAATATTATATATGTATGTAAGAGTGACTACAAAAAAATGGGAAAATGTACACAAAAGCGAATTGCAGGACACATACATATATATGATGAAAAAATTATATAAATTTTATATTGATAAACATAATGATTTAGGAAATTAATAAAAGACTAGTAGTGTAATATTAACAAGTAAAACGGTGGCAGTCGGTGTTGTCGTCACATGTATACCCTCAGCCTGTGGTCTGTGGAGGTCTACGGAATTATATACAGTTTTTATTATTCGTTGTATAAAAGGTATATGTTTTTATCAAAAAGTCGACCATCTGTCATGAGGTACCCTATAGAGCCCATATTTGGATTTGAATTAAATTTGCAGTTTTGTAAAATGTAGACCCTTGGTGGGTTACAACATTATACAGACACGGTCAAAATATTAGGTTGTGCAAAGTTTAGTTCACTTCGCCTTATATTATAAAATTAATGTTCACAAACTTTTGGCCATTTTGTGTGGGAGGTACCACAAGGTGAAGAAATAATACAATTTCCACATTTGGATGAAATCAGATGAACGGAAATTTGTAAATCGGCTCCAAATTGTAATTTAGCCCAAAGAAACAAACAATATTTCGATGAGCTAAGTGCAGAACTTCGATCAAATCGAACAAAGATATTTTCTACTTTGTTTATATTTAACAAAATAAGTAATGCGTGGGTTTTTTACCCTACTACATGGTATTACGTCTGAATTATGTTGAGCGTCAATGCGGGAAAATATAAAGCAGAAAAGAAAAAAACACCAAATAAAAACGCTGTTACTTTTTAGTTTAAGAAATAAAGGCAGTAGCTGAGTTAAATTTATAAAAATACATACAAATTGAGTGCCTGTAATTTGAACACTATTTTTCGGGGCACGAACAATCTACTATCACATAACACCATCTCAGAGTCCAGATATAAATATCCCGAACGACTTAATCTATTCTATTTATCGGAAAATGACATACGAAGTTAGATTCAAATAGTGTACCAAATATTATATTGAAGTTGATGTTAACTTAACTCTTAGTAACAATTGATTGTATGGAGATTTCACATTCTACTGAAAATCTCAAGCACTTCACGCAATTTCATAGTTATTTTCATTTTGTTCGAATAAAATTTAACTATCAAAATAGATATCTGTACTGTAAGTGTTTACAAAATATCTCAGAGGTAAATATTCGAATTGACTGTACAGATTTCTTCTCTACACTGAATCTATAGCAGCACGGTCACCTG